ATGTTACAAAACTTTAAATCATCACTCAGCAGGCAAAAAATAAAGCACTGAGACGAGAGGGAGCCACCGAGAGAAAGACTAAGGACACTGATTCAGATTTAAGAGATGAGCACCAGAGAAGAGGACAAAGACACAATGAATTACAGCCATGTAAACAGTTCGGAGAATCCCGAGGACAGCGACGCCAATCTGAGGTAAGAACAGGACACTGTCGTAGTAGGGACAGGTGAAATTAATTCAAGGCCCTGCTTTTTCAGACTGTCTCTCCTAGAAGGAATTACTGAATTACTCACACGAAAAAATACCAGAAACAGTCGAGTAAACTTTCTGCTCCTGCTCAGCTGACCAATCATGTTGTGACGTGGGTGTGAATGTCAGATAAATAGTTGTGGAAAGTTACAGGGATGTTCCGACACAGACTCCTGAGTCTGAGGATGGACTGATGTGGAGAGAGCAGGAGTCCGAAGCAGTGCTGATGGAGTCGACTTGATAATACTATGATCTGCTGACAGAACAGTCTGCCTCGTTGAAGATGTTTGTTGTCCACCACCTCCTTTCAAATACGCACTGCTCAAAAAACTTAAGGGCAGCATAACGTTCACCACGGCGTCTCCAGACTCTTTCACGCCTGTCACATGTGCTCAGTGTGAACCTGCTCTCATCTGTGGAGAGAACGGGGCACCAGTGGTGGACCTGCCAGTCCTGGTGTTCTCTGGTGAATGATGGAGCTGCACGGTGCAGGGCTGTGAGCACAGGTCCCACTAGAGGACGTGGGGCCCTCATGCCACCCTCATGGAGTCTGTTTCTGACAGTGTGGTCAGAAACAGTCGCCTGCTGGAGGTCATGTTGTAGGGCTGTGGCAGTGCTCCTCCTGTTCCTCCTCACACAAAGGAGCAGATACTGGTCCTGCTGCTGGGTTGATGCCCTTCTACGGCCCTGTGCAGCTCTCCTGGTGTATCACCTGGTCTCCTGGTATCTGGTATCAACCTGACTGGGCTGCAGGTCCCACCTCATGCTGCCAGTAGTGACAAGGACACTAGCAGAAGACCAAACTAGAGAAGAATCAGTCAGGAAGGATAAGGAGAGAGCAACTGTCTGTGGACACCACATGTAAAATCATTTCCTGTTTGTCTCTCCATTGTTCCTGTTGTCACTTTGATTTGCATCAAAGCAGCTGAAACTGATTCACAATCACTGGAATGATCCCTGAAGTTTAACTGACTTCCTGTTGCACTGTGACCATTAAGAGCTCCCTTCAGTTTTTCTTTCTCTTTGAATTATCCTGTTTTTAAAAGAGCACATTTTGTTCGGCACATGGTGGATTTATAAACCAGAGCATGGAAACTAAACAATAAGAGATATTTCAACCTCCTCAGCAGCAAAGGTGTTGAAGTGTCCTCAAGCAAGAACTGCTTGGATTCAAACAGCTGAGCGCGGCCGCAGCTGGCGAGAGCCTGCATCTGAAATATTCCTCATTACCTCGTGCATATGTGATGTAGAGAGCAAACAGCATCCAGCTAAATGTGTTTATTCCAGATGTTCCTACAGGCAGGCGGCTGATATACTGTTGCCCTCCTTAACGCCATGAGAGCTGTTGTATTTCAGTGGAAGGACACGTCAGTCCTGCTCTGCTGTAGCCACTCGCTGTCCTTGAGAGCACGACTGTGCATCGTAACAACAAAGTGCTTTATTAGACGTCCCCTGATAGATCAGGTCTGAGGTAGAACTCATGTCTGCAGTAAGAGTGATGATGTTTGGCTGCAGCTCAGGAGGGAGGCTCCACAGGGTATCTATCACCCGAGGTGACTGGGTGTCAAATAAAAAAGCGGCGCCGGGTAATTTTACAGGATGAATGTCAATACAGTCGATATAGGCAATCATCCGAGGGACGCCTCCCGCCTCTCCTCAGGCTCCTCACTGGTACAGTATTCACAGCCACCCTGGGAATGACGCTCAGGAGGGAGAGGGACTCATGTTCAGAGAGAATACAGTGAAATGTTTAAAGGAAAAGTTTGAAAATTGAGTTTTTGAATCTACTTTTGAGCAGGAAGACAGTGATGTTCTGTATATGAACACTTACTTTAAAGGGTGTTAATTAAGTGAATATGACAATAGGGGTGTAACGATCCATTGATCTATCATTTCAGTTATCAACAATCCAATATCATCAAATTCTGGTCAGCAGACGGAACACGTCGTACGTAAACAATGCTGTAATGAGATAAAACATGTCGTACCTGCCTGAGCGGCGTCTCACTCCGCTAACTTCTCTCTACAGAAACATCAGCTGCTGTTTCAACCATGTTTGGTTATGATTATCTTTTATGGCCCAAAGTAACAAATAAAGCTGCAGCAGCTTCTTCTGTGACAGACTGTGTTGAATGATCAGATAATATCGCCTCATAACGATCGCAGGACCCTGAATCACATCGCATCCACATCGTATCGTGGCAGATTTTATTGATCAGCAAATATCACATCCTTGTCTGAAGAATCAATATAATATTCTGTCATAATGAAAGTAGTGATTTAGACCCTAATCTATAACCCAGCAAACTATTATCTGTTGTGTAAATCAGCGACCTCCATGTTTGTTAGTGATGTCAGAGGTGAGAGCCGTGTGGAGGCAATCCCTGCTCACACTACAGTGCAGCATCTCGAAAGAAATCCTCACAGACAAGAAGCTGGAACCAGAATATTTAATAATGTTGCTTGACAAATGACTTACGATTAATTGATTATCCAAACAGATGCTGGTTCATCAACCAATCGATTGTTTCAGCTAAAGATCGAAGTAACTTAAAATCCATACTGTGAATTAATATCTCTCACAGACGACCTCAGATCGGAATCTGATTTATCTCGTATTATTATCTTGTATTTGTTTCAGATTTCAGTGACGTGTCGTCTCTGATCACAGTAAAAACATGTGGCGGAGGTTTGTGTCTCGTCCTGAGAGATGGCGGCGATAAGGAGCCCAGACTCACTTTCATGTCTCCAGTTCCGAGTGGGCCAAACAGGAAGGAGACACAGAGCAAAGCAGCCTTTGATTTATATTCAAATGAAACGTATACAGGGGAAATTGGATTTCTCTTTCATTTCAGAGAATGAATTTCCTGGTGGCAGATCGTATTGTATCATCTGGTGGCGTTAATATCCAGCTCTGAGCGTCACAAGGCTGTTCTTCATTACAAAGACTCGGAACTTTTACACCTCCTTGCCACTGAATGCAATGACTATTTCCATTTCTGTCCCCGTGTTCAAACAATACCCCCGAGGCCATTTAAGACATTTTTCAGCACTTTTAATTTACACATGAAAGGTGATAAGGAATCAAAGGAGTCCTGCTTTAAATTCAGAGGAAACTTGTTTCTGTCTCGTGTCCCTGATGTCAACCAACCTGCTAATTCTGTGCCTCAGAGCGAGGCGGCTGCAGGATGCTCCTTTTGTAGGTGTAATTGAGTTCAGTGTGTTTATACACTGATGAAAAATTCAACAATGTACACAGCCATCCTAATCAGGCTGCAGTGGCTCATGGGAAGAAAACACCATCCACCGCTGCCTCCACAGACAACGAGCCGCTCGCCATCAGCTGTGAGGCCTTAACGCCTCATTGTCATCTGGTCGCCGAGCCTGAAACATACATGTTGTAATCCCCGAGGAAACATGCCCAGCGTCACGGCTTCTGTCGCGCAGTTACAGACACAGATACGCAGGGTGACCTGTCTTCATTCAAACCACTTATCAAAACTCTTCTTTTCAAAACAACCTTTACGTGTGTATTTTACTGTGTTTTATTTTATGATCCTTTTAAATAATGTAAAGTGTCTCTGAGTACCATGAAAAGGGTTATATAGATAAAATGTATTTATTTATTTTATTTTATAATCTGGATTTTAACTCCTCTCTGTTCAGTAGCTGTCTGTTATTCACTCACTTTACAGCAGCAAACCACTTTGAAATAAAAGCTCTGTGCCGGAAATTTACTGTACTTCAAAATAAACTTAACACGATGGTGAGTCACTTGCGATCCTTTCAAAATGGACCTGTGATGCACTTTTGGACCGCGACCCACCAGTTGGTGGTATTTATTTAATGTGAATACTCGAATATGGAAGTTACTTAAAATGCCCATCTCTAAGGTTAATTAAACTTAACAAGCGTTAACAAAACTTGACACAAATGTCTAACAGGATAAAATAATGAAGGTCTAAAGGTCAAAGGTCAGCTTGACTGTGACATCATCATGTTTTAACATCATATCTCAGGAACAGAAGGGGAGACATTTGGTGAGACACTGAATTGGTGACTAATCTTGAAACTGTGTGTGAAGCATCCATGTTGGAGCGGTAATAACCCTGCAGCATCACTCAGTATATGAAGCTGCGACATCGCACGTTGTAGCCTGTGATTCAGTCGGCGCTGTCATCGTACAATCTGCAGACATCAAACCTGATGTCATACCAAGTTTATCAGATCCATGTGGCACAGTGTAGCTGCACTAAACTTAGACTGATAAAGTCTCACTGTCTGTAGGAGGATTAAAACTAATAATTTTTTATCATATCTGACAAAGAAAAGCAGCAAATCATCAGATATCAGAGGTCAGAATCAGCAGATGTTCAGTGTATTAAAAATGACAGAAATGAAAGAATGAATTATCAAATTAGTTTGTTGCAGCTCTAAAGTAAGATCTGTCTCTCTGAGCTCGAAGAAACACCGAAATATAAAAGTCTGACGAGACAGAATCTGAGCCGCTCAAAACTATTAACAATCAGACTGTTCACTGAAAGCTACTGACTGTCAGCTGCACGGACGGGTTTAGGATAGTTAATGAAAAAGGGATAAACATCAGAACATGACACTACAGCTCTGTTAAAGAGTTTCACGCTCACATTGTGTGAAGACGCCTCAGACTGCGTTGCATTTCCTCTGGCACCATCCTGTGGATTAACACAGACCCACACTGACACACTGCTGCAATAACAACACCATTTATCTCCTTATTTCAAGCGTCTTATGTTTTATTGCCACACTGCAGACTGACCCAGGATCAGGTGCGTTAAGTGTCTGTTCACACAAATTAGAAAAACTAAAAATTCTCACTTACAGTTTAAGGTATTCACCCATGTTTTTGTACCACAGGTTTGATTTTATTTCAACAGGTGTTGAGATTTCTGCTGCCACCAAACAGTAGTGTGTAGTGGTGGTGGATGAGGTGGTGTACTGGTAGGAAGATGGGTAAGTTACTGAAGAAGAGGTGATTCTACTCTGCTTTATATTCCAGTGGCTTTTTGGCTGATTGGTGGGAACAGAGACAGAACGTATTTCAGTCCCGCTCTCCACTGACTCTGTACTGAATGACTGTTTCCTTCCTGACATTTACATCTGCTGGCAAACAACACAAAAATACCTAAAAGCTGGTTTGTGGTGGGACGCACCAACAACATGGTGAAGAAACCATAACTACATTTTTACAAACAAGAGCTAACGGAGCTGTGACGCCTGGTTTTGATCTTTGTCACGTAAACTCATGATCCACCTGGTGATTCAATCAAATAGTTGTAAATATTAAAGTTCGCACTACTGGTCATCAGTGGGATCATTTCTCAAAGATAATCAACAGAAGACTGAGACAGATTGCTGTAACGTTTTGCTCTCTGGGAGACATGAGGCTCTAAAATAATACTGAAATGCTGAAATCTGATGTTCTGAGCTAGCTACAGATGTTTTGTCGGCGTTTCAGCCGTCACTGGTTATTAATATAATATATAATTTCTGCTCCTTTATCTTCCACACTGGACCTTTGACAAATAGTCTATATTAAAACCGTTGACCACTTGTTTTGTGGATGATCCTCAGTAACAGACGAACCTTTTCTCCAAAGATGCTGCTGTTGATTCATGTAATTCTTTATTGCTGTGTAATAAACTTGAGTCACCTCTCACTGAGCTGTGGTGGCAGAAAACCTGAAGAAATGAAACTAAAACCATGTGCACAGACTGAAACCTTCACAGGTAAGAGAGATTATTTCCTAATAATTTGGGTGAACTGACCCTTTAAACCTGACGAGCACAACATGAGACACAGAAACAGATATTCAACAGATGAAGCAGAGACGTTAACATGATCACTCTTCTCAGAGACCAAAGACATGACCGATTGTTGTTAAAGTGCTACATGTTGTTAACCAGCTGTGAGGATGTGTGAATCTTTGGCGTGTGATGACAAAGCTTAAAAACATACAGAGATAATGCTGAAGCTTGAACAGGTGTGGCAACTTGCTAAAATGATTTTGTCCTCCTCTGCGTCCGTCTTCTGTACTGATCTGAATCTAAAGTGTCAGGGTCTATGGTTGCTCCTCTGTGTCATGTTCTTCATGGTTTCACATGAAAATAACAAGAGTATCCAAATAAATTAAAGTTTTCTCATCAGTTTATGAGAATATTAAATATCTTCTGTCCAAGACGAGGTTTCCCAGTTTACTCCCAATGTTACTCCCAATGTATCCAACAGCAGTAATCCGTCTTGGTTCTCTGTGAGTCTCTGCTTCATAATATTCTACAATGATGCATCATATTGTTCAGAAAACTAAAAGCAGTCAATCTGCACACAGGAAGTTCATGAAGGGATCTCCACACAGTTGGTGAGGCACGTGGCGTCGGAGCGAGATGAACATCAGGATCACAGGCGACAAATACTTGTAAAGTGAAGTTCAATATCCAGAATCAGCCCACAGGAAGTTCGAGATTTTTTTTTTGCCACTCAGTCCCATCTGAGTCTCTAAAACCTGCAACACATCTACAGGAAAAGTTTTTGAGCATTTCGAGTTCACTCTGACTCAGAAGTGTTTGTTCCCCCCCTGCCTTTAGATTAGTGAGGAAAGCGTGTGAATGGAGGGTTGCTGGTTTGATTCCCTGCAGAGGCCCTCTGCAGTTTCTCTAAGCAGCCAGGAGCAGAAGGTTAAATTCATGTTCGAGTTTAAGATGTGACAGCAAACATGATGTTGCTGACATGTGCTCAGCAGAGAGAATAGAAAGACTTGACGTAGAGAGCTGTCACAGATCAGTCTGACACATTTACACCTCAGCTCTACTGTGAAACAAAAACCTTAATGTGTAATCCCTACAGCTGGACAGACCTGCACTTCCTCCTGGCCGCAGGTCTGGGTGGAGACTCAGGTGAGGAGCAGCTGCGTCGGCTTTCAGGAGGCTACTTGGTGACAGAGTCGCCGTCGGGCCTCATGCTGAAAGGCTCCAGGCGCTCGCTCTCAGGCAGCATGTTGTTGAGGCGCTCCATCAGCGGCACCGTCTGGTCGATACCCATCTGGATGCGTCTCAGGATCATGGACATCTCGTTGACCTTCTGGATCTGCTCAGCATACTTGGCGTAGCGTTTCTGGCGCTCCTGCATGATGCTGAACAAAGTTTCCACCGACAAGTCCATCTGGAAGGAAGAAGTCGGGAGAGAGAAGAGAGAGTGTCTCTGACTTCTGATGACACCATGAATCATCCTAACACAACTCAGACATGAATATGATTTAAATAATACAGAAATATACAGTGTGAGCGTCTCTCAGTGACATCACCCAAATTTAGATATAAAGAATAAGAGGCTGGAGGGCGGGACTGTTATGTAAACCTACATCTGTTACAGTCAAGTCACTGCCAAAAGAGTTTGTACAATGTTGATGAAGCTGATCGTCTTCAGGGATAAATCTCTGCATGTCACAGTAACTGGAGCTGTGGTGTCTGAGGTGACTCTCCCTCGCTGGCAGACCGGAAGTAGTTTGTTTTATGTCAACTAGCCAGAGCTAAAGGGAGCAGAGAGAGCTCAGATGCTGCTTTCAAATGTAAGACGAAAGTCGATAATTCCAACTCGGTTCCTGACTCCCTATCTGCTCAGGAAAACATGGACAAACTGCTGTCTGTATGTCAACTCTCTGCACTTCGGGGCACCCACTAGCTCACCTGGTAGAGCGGATGCCCCATGTAAGGCTCTGTCCTTGCCACAGCAGCCGTAGGTTCATTTCCAACTCCGGTCTTCGCTGCTTGTCATCCCCCCTCTCTCCCTCCCCATTTCATGCCAGACTTTCTTGTCTATTAAATACCAAAAAATAATCTTTAAAAAATATATAGTCTCTGAGCTTCATGAGCGTCTAAAGATGACCCACAATAATTCCCACAGCAGCACCATTAGTGAGGAGAAACAGCTAAAACAATAAGTCAATTGTCAAACTTGTCTTTGCTCTTTTAAATAATACAACAGCTCAAAACTATGTAAATGGTTGCTGAGCGTAATGGTGTGAATTTTACTTCATAAACGACCCGAATGATCAACTGATCATCAAGACTGTTGATTTTCTATTGATCAGGAAATAATTTCTCTACAACTTAAAATAAAATATTTTCAGACACCCTCTACATTCAACAGGAAACACAGCAGTTAGAATGGCTGTTGTTGTTAAACATTTCATGTTATAGTTTTTTACCTCTTTGATCCTCTTGACCAGTGCGTTCTGGTCGAAGGCCACGGCCTCGGCACACTGGTGGAGGTGGTCCTGGTAGCGAATGCAGAGCTGCAGAACCTGGGCGGCGTCCAGCCTCTCTAGACACACACTGCTGGGTGACGTCTGGCCACTCAACACTCCTGCAGAGAGCGAAAAGCAAACGGACATGTTGGAACAAAGTAACACTCGACAACAGCGTAACACTTGGTAATTATTGTAATTAGCTATGCTCAGGATCTGACAGAATTACCCCTCTGGTGTGTCAGGAGGGCGCCTACACAGGAAAGTTGGCTCATTATACACCTTCTAACAGCGCTAATGGGCTGCAGCGACAATTAGCTTCACCACACAGAATCTGAAAATGGACTGAAGGGGAGGTGATGAAAATTATATAAAACTCTCAGTAACTTCACATAAAAACTGAAATGATTCAAGTCAGATAAAAAAATCTGGACTGATAACTCTCTATAAATAAATTCAAAGTAGCAACATTTAGATCTCACTCATCTCACTTGTTACAGAGATCACAACAATGAAATTATATTTAATAAACAGATAGGGTGGCACAGTGATGCAGTGGTTAGCATTGTGGCCTCAAAGCAAGACCCCTTCTGTGTGAAGTTTATATGTTCTCCCTGTGTCAGCGAGGGTTTCCTCCAGGTGCTCCGACATGTTCTCCCTGTGTCAATGTGGGTTTCCTCCAGGTGCTCCGACATGTTCTCCCTGTGTCAGCGTGGGTTTCCTCCAGGTGCTCCGACATGTTCTCCCTGTGTCAGTGTGGGTTTCCTCCAGGTGCTCCGACATGTTCTCCCTGTGTCAATGTGGGTTTCCTCCAGGTGCTCCGACATGTTCTCCCTGTGTCAGCGTGGGTTTCCTCCAGGTGCTCCGACATGTTCTCCCCGTGTCAGCGTGGGTTTCCTCCAGGTGCTCCGACATGTTCTCCCCGTGTCAGCGTGGGTTTCCTCCAGGTACTCCAGCTTCCTCCCACAGTCCAAAGACATGCGGGTTAATTGGTGACTCTAAATTGTCCGTAGGTGTGAATGTGAGTGTGAATGGTTGTCTGCCTCTATGTGTCAGTCCTGTGATAGTCTGGTGACCTGTCCAGGGTGAACCCCGCCTCTCGCCCAATGACTGCTGTGATAGGCGCCAGCTTCCCCGCAGCCCCTAACAAGGATGACTTGTTATTTTGTCTGGTGAGTGAAGACAATCTAACAGCCACTTGTATATTTCAGCAGCATTTAGCTGGTGGCTGCTGCTGATTTCTAACCCTGCTAGGGTGGGATGAGCCCTTGAGAAAGCTGCATGCTCTTCCGACGCAGTGAGTTCTGTAAATGTCCTCAAAGGAGGAGAGAGGGCAGCTGATGATCTTCTGGACTTTGGAAATAACCCTCTCGAGTGTTTTTCTGTGGGCTGTGGAGCAACTGACGAACCACGCAGAGAAATAGTGACTCAGCATGCTGTTGATGGAGCAGTGATAAAAGGAACCCACAGTTACTCAGCCTGGTTGTTCTTTCTGAGGATCATCAGGAAATGAAGATGCTGCTGTGCCTTATTTGTGAGCATGGTGGTATCTGTATTCCATGACGAGTTGTCATCCCTGTGTACGCCCAGGAACATGACGTCTGAGAGCCTCTCCACGCAGTCTCTGTTGATGTGGATCAGATTTTTTTTCTTTCTGTAGTCGATCATCAGCTCTTTGGTTCTAGAGGTGCTCGGGCCACCACACTGACAGCCTCTGGACCTCGTCCCTGTATACAGTCTCATCCCCCACAGTTGTATCATCCACGAACTTGATGATGGCATATCTCAGGTGTATGGGGGCTCAGTCATTGGTGCAGGGAGTGTAGAGTCGAGGGCTCAGCACTAATCGCTGTGGGGAGCTGGTGCTGAGACTGAGGGAACTGACTCACTCTCTGAGAGCGCTCGACAGAAAGTCTCTGATCCAGTAACAGTATGTGACAGTCCTGTAGTTCAGTGACCAGTCTGCTTGGGATGAATGTGTTAAAGGCAGAGCCTAAGTCTCACATAGCTCCCTGATGTTCCAGCTGGGTTAGTGCCATGTGCAGAGCTGTGACTATGGCATCCTCTGAAGATACAAAGTGAGCTAAATGTGGGCGGGAGGCTGGTAACAAAGCACTTCATGATGACTGGTGTGAGTGCCACCGGATGTTATTAGGAGAACATATCAATTGATTTCACAGAGTGATTAAAAGCTATCAGTGTGGTGTGCAGATCTGTTGTCAGGTTTCTACTTTCAGTTTGTTTTTAATCTAGATCCTGATAAAGTTTTATAGATGTGTGCGCTCTGTCTAGAACTGAAATGGTACTTACTGTATCTCGTGCCCCGAGGGAGGTTTTTTAATTTATGAAAACATATTTCTGTGGCTTCATAAATTCACACAATATCTACCAGAGATGTCTGCAGTGTGTGAGCAGTAAATAGTATTAGGCTGCTTTAGATGTATGGAGGTGTACCTGCTGAGCTGTCTGCCTTACAGATGACACTAAGGTCCCTGTCAGCAGCTGGAAGACTTCAGAAGTTACCTTTTAACAGCGGCTGAAATGTGGGTATCTCCTGGAGTTTGATGACGTCTGGGTCGTTGTGGATATTTCTCATTGACTGTGTCCCCGGAGCCACGACCACGATATCATCCATCTTTGCTTTCTGCTTTGCCGGGGAGGGCACCACTGAAATGAAATAGGTTAATATTAATGTAAGCAGGCAGCAGTTACTATACATGACCTCTCGCCTTTTTGACACTCATGTCCCTGTTGCAGTAAGAGAAGTAATTTTATAATGTAGACAGAGAAAGAAAGATCACACTGACCACAAACAGTAGTAAAAACAACTGAGGAGCAGTGAAGTAAAGTGTGAAGCATTAAATAGGAACACTAATAAACACTCACAGCACTTCACATGAATAAACTGACTGTAAATCAGTGTCAGTGACTGAGCAGTGTTTAATATTAGCTTATATCAAACTCCACCTTCAACAGAAACCGATAACATGACTGAATAATAAACCAGATTAATCAGAGAGGTGATTTTACCTGATGAGCTGTAGTCCGAGTGTTTGTGCTCCGAGTCTCCGCTCTGTTCGGCTCCCATCGTGCTAACGTTTGGCTAACAGGCTAACGGTTAGCTTCCGTTAACGGTTACAGAAACGGGAGCAGAATAAATACCGGATGAATCAAAACGACTCTAAACGACCTCCACACACCCGGGCCGACAACGACAAGACCACGAACCGCAGCAGAGTAACTGAAGGGCAGTTATCGCTGGCTCTGCGGTAACATGCTAACGTTAACGTTAGCTAACGTCAGCTGTTCCTGTTACAGTTTGTTAGCTAACACGTTAGCACACGTTACTGTGAAGCTCAGTCAGAGTTGAAGCAACATCTGCCCCTGTGACGAGTGACACCGAGTTATATTTAAAAACAATTACATTAAACAACACAAAACGACTGAGACAGAGAAATGACTTCAGGTCAGGACGAGGCAACACTTCCGTAAATATTGATCACAAGGTCTGTTCCTTCATTCTTCTTCTGCTGATGTTTAATGGCGGTTAGCAGAACAGCTCTCAGGTACATTACCGCCACCTAGTGGACCGAAGTATAGAGCAGGAGATTAAGAAACCAGCAAAAACCAACCAACAAACAAAAAACAAACATTCCTTCTATTATTCTTATTAGTCTAAAATAATTAAATAGAAGTCTACGTACAATCCTTTATGTCCCCCTAGTGATGTAATGCTGTTCTTCATACACTGCACCAAATCTCCCGTTTGTCTCACGCTCCATTTACCCTCACTCATGATAAAGATCATCCTGACCACTCCACACCCAAACCGCCCAAGGTCATGCTGGAGGTCACGGTGTGATGAAGCCAACAGAACCACATCATCTGCAAACAGCAGACGCAATTCTGAGGTCCCCAGACCAGACCCCTTCCTCCCCCTGGCTGAGCCTCCAGATCCTGTCCATGAACATCACAAACAGGATCAGAGACAAGAGGCAACTCTGTTACTTCACCTGAGTATTTTAACTTTATCCTGCTGCTTCTCTACTTTTTACATTTTTAATATTATATTTTTTACTGCACTTTATTCACCGGTTCCCTTTAGTCACTTTGCAGATGGAGATTTAAACTCTTGTGATGAGCAGATAAAATAAAATGCTTTGTTATACAGAACATTAAAACACCAAACAGTTACATCATTAAATGTATCTGACATGTTGCACCATCAATAGTAATAATAATGATAATAATATTCTAATAGTATAACGTACAAACTCTTTTTAAATGGGTAAAACTTTCAGTCTCGTAATGTCATTGCGCCCCCTAGCGGCCAATTCAGTCCTCCACATAATAACACAGACAGATAGTCAAACACAGTTTTAACTGTAGATTTAATGAACAGGACAAAGGTCAGGCTGAAAAGCACAATTGGGGTGAAAAACACACAACAAGTAAAATGAACGAGTATAAAAACAAGTAAAACACCAACATCTGTCACTGCAGAACATCATGAAACATCCTGGAGACATCAACAACAGCAAAAACATCTTAGAAACATGAACAGATTTCTTTTAACGGTGTTATATTCACAATCAAACCATTTCAATGTGTCAATCTGTAGAAACAGAACAGCTGTATTTAAGACTCTCTTTGACTTATGTTAATAAAATCTTTCACATGTAGTTAGATATAAACAGAGCAGGCCCCTGAACTACAGAAGTAAAGTAAAATCAGTTCAGTAAAACCGCCTCAAACAGAACTCACCATGTGGTGTTTAAGATTTACTACTTTACCAGTTCACCTCATCTGAAGATGAAAACACTGATACAACCAAAGAACAAAACTTCAAGACTTCCTGCAGGTGATTCGACCTACACGAGTCCCGTCCTCTCTGCGTGCGCCTGGCTCCCGTTGTCTTCGTCAACCAGAGGGTAGGGTCGCAGGTCCAGGGTCAGAATACGGCTGAACATGCATTCATCAAACTGTGAAGGAGAGAACATCGTAGTTAACGCATCATCATCATGACACACGGAAATCAGAGTTCCTATCCAACGTGTTATAAGAGTCTGTTACATCTGAGTAGACGCCCAGCAAGGCGTCGGCCTTAGAGAAAAACTCCTCCTTCAGAGAGATGACGATGATCTGCATGTTCTGTCTGGACTCGTCTCTGATGAAGCTGGTCACCTGGTTACAAACAGAACAAGCTCATAGAATCCATACAAATAAGACAACACACTTACACCAGGTCCACACTACACAATATTATACAACAGTTCGTTCCGACCAAGTAATGTGATTGGACGAGAGGCATTCCCTGAGTGCTGATATAGAGTATAACATCACTGGGACATGTAGCTAACAGTAAAATCACTCCGCTCACAGGTGTTATAAATATAAATACAACCATTAATTAACCAACTGTCACACCCGCTACACTGACGCAAACTGACGCTATAGCGTTACACCAAGAAGATGGATATTTTCCCCCAAATTACATTTGAATTAAATTATGAGTGGTCGTCAGGAGAGGACGAGGAAAAGGAAAGCCAGGACTATTCTGTGCAGACCTCCAGGTGTGTTTGAATCCGGCCGTGCCAACATCCAAGTTTGCCAAAGTTTCATCAGCAGAACTGAGCGAAGTTCCACAGTTGCAGATCAATGTAAATACAAAGTAGCTTGTGAGTTCCTGGCGTGTGTGCTACGTTGCCTGGCAACGGGGCGGGGGGAAGTGTGTGTTTCCGTGGAGCTACATAACATACTTAAATAATTTATTTCATCACCTTTTGTTAACATTTCCTTACTCAGTATTGCTGTTTAAGCTGTTGTTGAACTGTTGTATAAAAGCAATATCACACTCGAGGTCGTGACGTTGTACTGTATATCATCACGACTGTAATTGTCGAATCACAGCCGTGACGATATACAGTACAACGTCACTCCCTCTTGTGTGATATTGCTTAATTAGTATGTTGTGTAGTGTGGTGTGGACCAGGCATTAAACCTTATTAAAAACATAATGATTAAAGCAGCTGTGCGGAACTTTTTACCATTTATAAAACTGTCCCTAGTTCGTATCACCCCCCCCTTGAAGATCCGCATATTTATTTAACCCAAAAGGGACAAAAAAGCCTTTCTCTATATGGCTATTTAGCGTAGCCTCGGTCGGGTCGGACACAGCGGAAGTCAGCAAACCAGAATACGGCACCCGGAGGCAAAAGTAAGTCTGCACGCCTGCAGCCATTAAACCACAGAAGAAGAAGAAGCCAAGTTTACGAGTAGGATTTAAGAAACAGACTAAATGACATGTAGTAGGGAGTAGTGAATGATTTCGGACACATTGCACACTCTTGTACAGTAGGTGGTGGTAGGCACCTGGAAGTTGTTTACAATCTGCCAATAAATTGAGAGAAGAAGAAGAGCTGTGTTTACAGAGTGTTCTTCGAGTAAGCGGTACGCAACAGGCATTGCTGAACACATAACAGTTTTACCAGATGTATCTATAAGGACTTGGTTGTACTTTCGATGTCATGGAGGATAAAGAAGGAGCACCATCTAAAAGAAAAAGAACAGAAGAACAGAAGAAGGATAAACGGGACAGTGATAGGGCTCGAGCCCAAAAGCGTGTAAACCTCGGTCGGGCATTCACCAAGTGGAGAGAGCTGAGAGATTTGAAAGGTTTTAAAACTGATCCCGAGTTGGCCCTTTTCCTAATCGACAGGTATGTCATTTTTGTTTTTATTTAGAGAATATACCGCAACTTGTTAGACGTTGTTTCACTTCAATACAAGCTAAATGTAACGTTAGCTGATGTGAACCACTTTTGTCTAGTAACGTTACAACAAAATTATCTGTGACTGTGACCATGAACACAAATATACAGCAGGCAGTTGTCCTCCGTTTATAAGAAATTCAGAGCAACACCAGAACATTTATGATTTTCCTCTCGCTCTCCAAAACAAATGCATGCGGTAATTGCTGGTTGCAGTCGAGATTTTACGACACCAGACTGTGGGTGTCATACCGCTTCAACCAAAGGGGGCACTATAATCAATGAAAACGTAAAGTTCCACACAGCTGCTTTACGTAAAAGACACTCTTATGGTTAGTTTTTTCTTATCGCTGTGCCTAACACAACTTTCCCTGCAACAAAAAAAAGAAGTCGCCACTCTGCTGCTGGAAATCCAAAGTGGACTAACTGACCTGACACACAATGTGTTGTTTGATAGCATACAAAGATCTGATTACTAAAGATTCGGGGTGCGACTAACAAATTGTTTTCATCAGTAAATCTTCTTTTTCATTATTCAATTATTCTTTTATCATGTCAAGTATCAGGGAAGATGACTTGATGTGACACATTCAAACGTTCTGCTCCTGAGTCTCACCTTGCTGATGTTAGTATTGTCCAGGGCTGCGTCCACCTCGTCCAGGACGAAGAACGGAGCAGGGCAGAAGCTGAGAGACATGACACCAGTGATGAAGGTCAAATGTCAGAGCCACAGCCATTAAAAACTGATGTAACAAGTACATGATAATGTGCATCTGAAGGAAAGAAGAGGTGAACAAGTCTTTGATTTACAGAGGAACAATAGTCTCAGTACGACTGATAAGAACGAAGCAGCCATGATGGATTCAGAGACATGTCAAGTGTCTCTTTATCAGAGTTCTTCCTGTGAAGTTAACGATGTGAAAGAGGAGATCATCAGGCTCTCTGAACGACACAGCCTTTACTTCATTAGTCCATTCATCAGTTTAAAAACGTCACACGTTCAGTACCTCCAGGCAACTGTTACCCCCAAAAGAAGAAATGATGTTTCTGAAACATATTTCACAGTTTGTCAACAGCTGTGCTGATTCCTGTTTTATTTTTTGGTTTTGTTTCCATAGCTGTGAGGGGTAATTATCCAGCTGTCCGGCTGATTTAATATCCAGCAAACACAGATTATGTTCAATGATTTTAGGAAACAGGATGGTGGTTTGTCAATCTGTCATTAAAGACGTATTCTTCTGTTTATTGTTCTTGTTATCTGGAGCTCTGATGTGCAGTTTAAAGTGATTAGTTTATCTTTCTGTCTGTAACCTTTGCTTCTCACTCAACACAATATTATAATCACGTGTTGGAATCTGATGTCATCTGGTCTCAGGGTTCACACATTTTCATGGACTACATTTCAAAACTTTTCGATGACTTTTCAATGACCCATAATAAAATTTTCATTTGGGAAAAGCACATGCCTCACTGTGTCTGCTGCACCTGCCGGCCCAGTTACAGTATTTTTCTACACGCACACATGCCAGAGAGTATCGCCTTCTGTAAGCAACGCGCCACACTGTCGTCACATACGCATATAACATCTAAAAGCAGAAAGCTTGGCTGGTATAAATCATGGTAAATGAGAACTGTGCAAGATTTCCATCTATATCAAGCATAAAAAGTTGTCTGAGTTAATTTGCCTTACTTGACATTGCACGTCCTTGGATATGCATCGCAGTGTCAAT